AAGAACTCTTAAAACTCAACAATAAGATGAACAAGCATTAAAAAAAAAAAAAGGCAACAGATCTAACAGATACCTCACCAAAAAATAACAGCAAGAAGGCAAATAAACATATGAAAACATGCCCAGCACCGTATGTTATTAGAAAACTCAAAATGACAGTGAGATATCACTCCAGATCTATCAGTGTGGCAGAAATCCCAAATACTGACAACACCAAATTCTGGTGAGAATGTAGAGCAACTGTAACTCCCAATTTTTTGCTGGAAGGAAAGTAAAATAGCATAGCTACTTGAGAGTTTGTTTGGCAGATTTCTCGTAATACTAAGCATACTTTTAACATATAATCCATCAGTGGTTGATCTGAAAACTATGTCCACATAAAAACCTGAACATCAAAAAAAAAAAAAACATGAACATCATGTTTATAACAGCTTTACAACTACCCAACACTTGGAAGCAAATAAGATGTCCTTTAGCAAGTGAATAGGTAAATAAACTGGTACATTCTGACAACAGAATATCCAGCATTTCAAGATGATAAGACATGAAGGAACCTAAATTCATAGTCCTTCTTACTGTTCTGTGACATGCACACCTGTGACCTCTCTGGTATTGTCAGTCTGTCTATAGAACTAGAGTGGCAACGCCAGCCAGGATGATGGGATGGAGATGGGGTGAGTTCATCCTACGTACGTCACAAGCATGAAGTGGTGGTGACCCTCCTAGATCTGGTGTGAGCATGTGTTCCCCACTGGTGTGCTGGTCTTAGGTTCACAGAAAATGATCAAGGCTCAGGGGGCTGTGAAGATGAAACCGGAGTCCATAGAAATGGTAGGGGTTAGAGTTCCCATGGAGCTTCAGGAAGAGAGTTGGGGAGATAGAGGCTGACAGGTCTGAGTCTTCTGGTTCCTCTGTTTCCTTGAGGAAATGCTGAAGATGGAGAGCCATCCCCCACCATCCAGACCCTCTGTGACTGTCAGACATGATCCTTGAGCAGTATTCCAAAATTGAAGGCTGAGAAGGTTGGGGAAGTAATCATATCTTTATCACAGAAAAGACCAACATCAACTTAAAGTAAAATGTCTGGGTCCTGGTCAGGTCATATTTCCTATCTTGTTAACTACATAAATTTAACTGAATTCTAAATGTCACACAGAAGCTTCTCACATAACTATTCAGTATCCTCTTAAGCTCAATGTCTTTTTCTCTCAAGGAGGAATAAGAAATTTCAGGTTACTTCTACTCTATAGTGATTACAACTTTGCTACTTGGGAGACAGATGTTGGAAATAAATTCCATTTCATTCTAAAGGACATACCTAAACTCTTCCCTGCAGGGCCTTACAGTATCAAATTCTGTGCCAAAACAAGAAAGTGGGCTTCTTAGGAAAACAAAAGGTTGACTCTTCAGCTCCAGGGATTTATGAGCAGTCCAAGCTGTGCTCCCTTATGCCCACTTAGTGACTGCTGCCCAATTAGCCTTTTCTTTAATAGCCATGAATTCTACCATGCCCAAAGTCAGGTTCTGTACCTTGAGATTTCTGCTTTCCTGGTGGGCTCAAACTTGCAAAAACATGCATAAGGAGGACCAGAGAGGGAATAAAGCAGGGATGTGTGGAGAACATGAGACTGGCACACGGACTCTGCTTACATACAGGCCAGGCAGGGGGTTGGTCTGAGCAAGTGTTTTTGGGAATGGAGCTTATGACTCCTACACACCCTGCAGGGCCAGGACCCTTCAGATCAGGACTGATGTGCTGGCAGGCAACTGGGATTGGAACAGTGAGCAATACTTTGACCTTTGAAAAACTGCTAAGAGAGCAGAGCCTTTAACTAGGAGGAGAGCCAATTCAGACATTTCATCAGGTATGTGTAGGACTATGATGGTAGACAGAGTGCAGATCTAGAGTGATAAAAATAAACTCAGATTACTAGTGGGAATTCAGTTATGACAGATAATGCTGATGAACCATGGGGTGAATGGGCAAGATTTATCAAAAGATTACGTAGAAGATCCTCTTGTCCACAAAAAGTGAAAAACAGGCATCTGATATACAAACTCAAGGAGATCCTATGTTTAAGTTTCTTTTCAATTTGACAATGCTTCACGTTTATGATCTTCAAGATATCTCGAGATTGGGCCTCCCCTGGTGGCGCAGGCGGTTGAGTGCAGCACTATGAAGCTGTCTGCAGCCTCTGCAGTGTGGGTTCCATCCCGGTCGGCCGGCGAGGGTCCCACATGGCACAGCAGACCTCTCATGTCTCACCCGCTGCTCCCCTCAGCAGTGTTTTCTGTCAGTCTGCCTGTTCTGTTCCCCGTTCTGTTCTGTCTCTGGTGAATCCTCTCACCCTCCTGTGCATCTGGCCTGTACCCCAGTCTTAAATAAATAAATCTTTAAAAAAAAAAGTATCTCGAGATTTGAAAACTGAAACTCTTTGACTGTCTTACCAAAAATTGTTCTTCTTTTCCATCACTACTCCATAGGATGGTATCACCCTTTACCCAACTGTCCAAGCCAGAACAAAAGGGTTATTCCAACTTCTCCTTCACCATCACCCCAAGGCATGCAACAAATCAATTTTTGATTCTGCTCATTGAATCCATGTAAATCATTCAGGCTTTTCTATCCCTTAATTCAGGCTATCTGTCACTTCTCACAGCTCTTTACCTGGCTTCCTGGACTCTTATTACCCACACCTTCTCTCTCTGCCACCCACACCCAAGTTACCTTCTATTTGTAGTCAGAGTGTTACTCAAATGCACAAAAGGCATCCACAGATCCTTGTCCCAAAGGACCAGGAGTCTTCCCTGGAAAGTGCCATGGGAACCAAAGGAAGAGAGTACTCTGCCCATGTGTCCTTGTTGAACCAGCCCCCAGTGGATTTCAAAACATCTTTTCAGAATCTTTCATTTGAGTCAGGAATGCTACTATATAACATTAATTATTAATTCTCATGCCCAAAGGATAAAAATTGTAAAACTTCTTGCATTTTGATAATAAATCTCAGCTCCACATGTGGACTTGCTCTGGGGGAGAAGGAGGTGTTCTTGGTAGACAGGTGAGCTGGGTGGATGGCCAGGCACAGGGCAGTGCCAGGAGAGGGCCTACAGGGATGTTTGCTTGGACACATTTTCAAGTAAATCCATATGATGGTGCATTGGACATACATAAAGTTGAATAAATATTTTTATTACTCAAGAGCAGTGGAGAATAAGTACTGTTTTTAAGACTGTAAATCACACACACACAAATACAATTAGCAACTTTGTAAGTCCTCCAAAGTACAGAGAGTTATTCTCATATTCACTTAGAGAGTTGCCATGAAATTCAATTTTTGCTTAAAGAAGTTAACTTAGTGTCCTACATGTCTCCATAGATCAGTACATATTTCTGAAAATCAGTTTTGTGAGTCATATTGAAAACCTTTTATCTTTCATTTTTTCTCTTAGATTAAAAGACTTTTATGCAAAAAGAGGCATTGTGGATTCCTTATGTAAGAGAAATATTGTGATCTCATCGTAGTTTGAGAGAGAATTCTCTAGTCCCTAAAATACTTTCTGTGAGCTTCATTAATTGAAGTGACCACTCTGAGGGGGCTGTGACCACTGACCCTGCTTCCCATGAAGGCTGCCCCCCGGGTGGTTGGTGGTGGGCCCTACCCCTCAAGGAACACCTCTAAGCCTTTTCCCAATACCAAGATTCAGGATTCTAGAGTTTCCTGCAATCATAATTTATAGATGATGTCAGTTTCTGAGCAAAAAAAAAAATTAAGAATCTGAAAATCAGAACTGAGAGTTTTTGACAAAATTCTTTGAATCTCTTTTTCTCTACAAATGAATAGACTATGACAATATAAGCATGAACATCTATTTTAAAAAATCAAGATCTCACAAGTCAATATTTCACATACTGGAAATTGATAGTTTTCTAATAATACAGGGCTAAATTGCATTTTTAACTTGTGGTTTATTGAATAGGACATGGGGCTCCAATTAGTGTCAAAATTGGAATAGATTTACTCCACAAATACTGTCAAGTGTGAGTGAAGATATTTCCTGTATTTGAATGTGTGAGAATGGCAGAAGTGTGTTCATTAATTCAACAACAACCTGCTGCACTCCTACCACAGGGAAGGCATGAAGCTATACATGTCACATCCAAGAAAACTGGTGTTATGCCTAAGCCATCACTTTAGCCAAAAAAAGTAAAAGACAGCATGGCTAATAATATAACTTGAATACATTTGCAATGCTTGGCAATTTTAATGTTTTTCTTGTAAAAAAATTATTGCTGTAATGTTGGTTTAAAACATGACACAGGTTTCAGGTGAACAAAATTATAAATCAACATCTGCACGCTTTGATGGTGGGGGCAGTATGAGGACTCACATCTGCAGAGGTGTGAACCTATACCCCTGAAATAGACACAGTGTTGTAAACCATTGTTACCTCTATTAATATAATTTTAAAAATAAAAAAATCATTCTAATGAAAAAATCAACATCTGTATATATTATATTAGTATAGTATTGCCACCTAAAGTCTAGTTTCCATCCTTCACCATATGATTTTCCCCATTTACCTACTCACTTCCCCCTTTCCTTCTTGTAACCATCTACTTCAGTGAACTGGTGAGTATGTAGTAGCAGTGTCTCTCCGTTTTTTATTATGTTCACAACATAAATAAAAATCCCTGAAGCCCCAACCTTTCTCAAAAGAAGAGTTACTTTTTATTTCCCCTGTAGAAAGGAGTGTGGACTAAAAGAAACTGACCACAAATGAGTTTGAATTACTTGTTTCTATAATTCATTATCTCTTTCCAGGAGACTAATGTATCTATGCAATGGTATATTTATCAAAGTATTTGTGCTTGTCAACATTTACAGTCATTAATAATTACAGCAGCATAGAGAGGATTCTGTAAGAATTTAGTAGTTTGGGAGCATACAAACTGCCAAATGATTGAAAACAGGTATTCGAAATACCTGGAATCGCCTTACCGGTCCGTGAGGCCGCAAGTGTCTATCTGGAGATCACGGAAACTCCCTAGCGCCCCCTGCTGCACCGAAATGAGATCCACTGCCTTGCTGTCAAAAGAGATGAGCCGGAGACATCCCTGAAATGCCCCCAGCGGACTTCTACATCCTGAGTCACCGTCAGGGCAGCCTGAACACAGGGCATGGAGACATACATAGGAGAAAATAAGTTACGTCAAAAATATTGCACATTATTTATTACAGGAAATAATGGCTGAATACGATTCCATTGTATATACCTCACATTTTCTTTAAGCATTCATCCATTGATGGACACAGGTTGTTTCAAAATCTTGACTATCATAAATAATGCTGCAATAAGGATGGGGGTATAACTGTCTTTTTCAAGTTAGTGCTTTCATTTTGTTTGGCTATAGACTTAAAAATCAAATTGCGAGATCACATAGTAGTTCTATCTTCAATTTTTTGAGAAGCCTACATATTGTTTTCCAGGGTCATTGCACTAATTTTCCTTCACACTGATAATGCACAAAGGTTCCTTCTTCTCCACATTTTCACCAAGACTGTTATTTCTTGTCTGTTTGCTAACAGATACTTTAACAGGTATGATGTGATATCTCATTGTGATTTGATTTGCATTTCCCTGATGATTAATGTTATTGAGCATTTTTCATATACATGTTGAACATCTTATATGTATTCTTTGGAAAACTGAGTGTTCAAATCTTCTGCCCCTTTTGAAATAAGATTGCCTTTTTGTTGTTGTGATTAAGATACATCAGTTCTTAATATGTTTTGGATATTATCCATCGTCCAGATATATGATTCACAAATATTTCCCCCAAATTCAGTACCTTGCCTTTCCATTTGTTGACAGTTTTCTTTGCTGCACAGAAGCATTTCAGTTTCTTATTTTCCTACTTGTTTATTTTTGCTCTGGTTGATTTTGTTTTTGGTGTGAGATTTAAAAGCCATCATTGAGGCATGTCAAGGAAATTACTGCTTGTATATTCTTCTAGGAATTTGATGGTTTCAAGACTCACACTAAGTCTTTAATCCATTTAGAGTTAATTCTTGTGAGTGGTGTAAGACCCTGGAGGGGTTTTATTCTCTGCATGTGGCTATTCACTCAATGCCATTTATTAAAGAGACTGTTCTTTTCCTATTGTAGAGTCTTGGTTTCTTTGTCATAAATTAACTGATCATATATGTTTGAGGTTATGTCTTGGTTCTCTATTCTGTTCATTCATCTATATATCTGTTCTTATGCAGTATGATTTTGACTGGATTACTACTGCTTTATAATATAGTTTGAAATTACAGAATGGGATGCCTCCAAATTTGTTCTTTCTCAAGATTGCTTTGGTTATATAGGGTGTTATGTAGTGCCATATAAATGTTGATTTTTTTTCTATTTTTATAGAAAATGTTACTGGAATTTTGATAGGGATCATCCTGAACTTGCAGATAGTTTTATGTATTATGTAGTATTGACATTTTAACAATATTAATTCTTCCACTTCATAAGTATAGAATATTTTTCATTTATTTGTATCCTTCAACTTCTTTCACTAATTTCTTGTTGTTTTCAATACAGAGGTCATCCAGCTATTTGAACAAACTTATCCCTATGTATTTTATTCTTTTTGATGCAACTGTAAGAACAATTATTTTCTTAATTTTTCTTTCTGACAGTTCATTATTAGTCTATAGAAACACAACAGACTTTTGTGAATTGATTTTATACCCTGCAACTTTACTGAATTTATTATCCCTAATCCTTTTTGTTGGAGTCTAAGGTTTTGTACCTGTAACATGATATCATATTGAAATACTGATAGTTTTATTTCCTCCTTTCAATGCATGTTAATTTCTTTATGTTGGCTAAATGCTTTGGCTAGGACTTCTAATACTGTTGAATAAAATTAGCAAAAGTGGGCATCATTGTCTTCTTCCTGATTTTAGAGGAAAAATTTTCAGCTTTTCAACATGAGTACATTTCATTGTTTTGTCTTATAAAGTTTCATTTATATCATTTCCAGAATAACAGTTTTCTTTTAACTTACTAATTATTTATCTTTTTGTTTTGTATTTTCCAGTCAGGTAAATGTGGAATTCTTATGTTAGTAGTTATAGCATGGGGTTTGAATCTATTTCATGAGTTTCTTATTTTTAAAATCAAATTGAAGAAACAATCTTAAATATTTTACTTATTGTACTTGTGTGGTTTTCACTCAACCTGTTTTGTACTCTCATCATGGTGTCACTGAGACATGCACTTTCAAGGAGCAGCAATTGACATTCAACCTACATGCTAGCTTTCTATTTAAGGATTTTTGAAGGAAAACAGGATATGCCACCTCAATGTATGATCTTTGGCATGAGGATTAACTGGAGCTGGTTTTAAGAAAGAGCAGACACAGGGAAAAGCTCTAAAAAACAAAAAGTTACCCTTTTATAAGACAAAATTACAATGATAAGTGGGATCTCTACTTATATATCTGTTTCTTTGCACAACAAAGATGAGGATGATCAAACATCTAGAAACCTTAATCAATGGATAAGTCATGGAGGTAACTCTTACAACAGCCACACTGTTGTTTACTGGCTCCCTTCACCCCTAACATCTTCTTTTGTCTTTATCTGGAGGTGGGGTTTAAAGTGATCACTTGGATTATCTGGGGAGTTACTTAGTGTTACTGGATATGTCCCATGTATATAAGGAGATATACAGTAAGTAAACTTCTGTTTGCTTTTTTCTTGTTGCTCTGTTTTTTATTACAGGGAAATCTCAGCCAAAAAAAAAGCTAGAAGGGTAGAAGGAAGTTTATTTTTTTATCCTACATTTCCATAAAATGCATGTAGTTTACTTTTTCTTTTTCTTTCCGTATGTGAAAAGTTGACATGAGTGGAGTCATCTTAAAAATGGAGCCAGGGCAGTCACAACAGAGAATCAGCTTCACTCAAATTATTTGAATTAGGTCAGATCTTTGAACTGGACCAAAAAAAAAAAAAAGGTTTATGTTTTAAGAAATTATCAAGAAAACAAATGTTCGAAAAATCATTAAAATCAGGCGCACCGATGATTATGAACTTTCTGTCTCAGGGTAGAATCAGTAACCAATATGTATAGTCAAAAATAATTTAAATTTGTTACCACCAATTATTCCTTTTTTTTTTTTTTTAAAGATTTATTTATTTATTTATACAAGCATTGGGTACAGTCAGAGGCACGGGAGGGTGAGAGACTTCACCAGAGTCAGAGCAGACAGCAGAGCAGGCAGACTGAAGTACACTGCTGAGGGGAGCAGTGGGCAGCAGGAATGGTCTGTGCGCCATGTGGGACCCTCGCCCGGGGGCCAGGGATCAAACCGGCGCTGCAGAGGCTGCGGGCAGATTCGCAACCCAGCACTCAACTGCTGTGCCACCGGGGAGGCCCCAATTATTCCTTTTTTAAGACATTGACCTTATGCATTCTTTTCTTTCCACAAAAAACTTCAACACTTTTGTTCCTCCTTGGGACACTATTTGGGTTTCTATCCGACTTTGTGCTTTTCCTCATAATCACTTCCTAAACTTTTAGGCTTTAGACCTTTCTATTCTTTACAAACATTAGTGAAAACAAGCCAAGGTTTGCATCAGGTCAAAACCATTACTGGGCACAATGAAACCTCACAAATTCACTTCACAGTGATGATGTTATTTCAAATGACATGTGACATCATGAAAACTACCGCTTCCTTTTATGGATTCCTTTCTTTTATAGATTTCTTGATTTGTGTGAAGATGCATACATTTCAGCTTGGAAGCAAATTTCCGAAGGGTTGAATATATTTGGAAGAAACATGATATATCTTTACAGGTGACTTCCACTTACAACACTTAGCAACTAAGGACTCTAGGATAAGGGAGAGGGAATATTACATCAATAAATAGTTTTATGGAATCATTGTTATTGCTCCTTTTCCGTTTATCTTCCTTTTCACTATACTATAAGTCTCAAACTCATTTATTTCTCTTAGGAATGAAACTAAACCAAATTCAGTGAGTCACAGGAAATCTTTCTGGAAGTAAAAGTGTAATGAAGCAAAGACCAAGTCACTTAGAATTTCACCTCCTCAGTTATCATAGAGGTCAAGAAACAAGGGGGACGGGCCTCCCCTGGTGGCGCAGCAGTTGAGCACTGGGCTGTGAAGCTGCCTGCAGCCTCTGCAGCTCTGGATCAATGCCAGGCTGCCAGCGAGGGTCCCACATGGAGGATCCCACATGGCACGCATACCTCTCCTGCCTCGCCCGCTGCTCCCCTCAGCAGTGTACTTCATCAGTTTGCCTGTTCTGCTCCCGGCTCTGGGTCTGGTGAATTTACTCTCACCCTCCCACGCTTCTGACTATACCCAGTGCTTATATAAATAAATAAATAAATCTTAAAAAAAAAGAGAGAAAGAAACAAGGGGAACCAGGTCCTGAAATGACCTCAGCCTGGGAGAGGCTTAGGCCTCCGTGTAGAAGATTACCCCAAACCTTGGTGCTGGAATGACAGAGGCTCTTTCATCGATGACCTAATTTGTGAGGGAAAGTGTAAATGATTCTTGTTGGTAAATTAATGAAACATATCAATCACGACTGAGGAAGTCATAGGTTAAGTACCTCTGAGGATAGCAGAAATTGTCACTTCATGTCACCACAGCAGAAGAGGTCATCAGGTGAGACTTCATTACAGAGTTATAGATCTCCTGGCCTGCTGATGCTTCATACAACACACTTGGGCAATTCTGACTATAAATTACTATTCCCTAACTTAGTGGTACAAGTAAGCTATTAAAGAGGACCAAGATTCCCTAAAAAGGAATATATTCAGTGTTTGGCATTCTACTATCCTTAACAACAGGCACCAAAAATCTGTGTGCAATATACCCTTGAAGAACAATTTACAAAAAAGCTCAGACTGAGAAAAGCAGGAAAGGAAAAAGAGATACTCGTGTCACAGAATTCTAACGGGAAATACAAAAAGTACTACTTTTTCAGTGGGTGCCTTTCATAGTAAGAGCCACACTCTGACACTGCCAGACGTGGCTTCCATGGGAGACCAGAGAATGTGGTTCATACCTGCTGCCTTGTCATAATTTTGGATGTCATCTCCTTCATTCACTAAAGTGTTCTGGTTTGGATAATAAATTACATGTTCACTCTAACTGAAAGAGCAAGGCACACCAGTATACATTTATGCTAAAGTATTGTAATAAAATCTAACTGACAAGGTAATATAATAATTGGGAACTAGAAGATGAAATTTCATCTGGAAGTGATGGGTAAGGAGGGCTGGTGAGTGTGACAGCATTTGAGTGATATTTTCCTTGAAAACCCAAATATCATAAACTGGTTTTCACAAGAGGACCCTGGGACACATTTTATTAGTTCAAAAGTTGCTACAGAGCAAGGATTAGATAAAGTGAATTATCTTGTCAACATCTGGTACTAATGGACACCAGCTAAGAAGCTGATATGTCCCTCTTTACCCAGGACAGATTTGAAAAGTTTAGTGGACCTTGAAGATGGCAAGGTACTGAGCAAAGGAACCTTTAGCTGCACAGAAAACTTGCAAATATAGCAAATCTATTGAGAACCAGAACTTCATGTCTACTGCTCCTTGACCCGCTTGTTATGGTTTTCCTTAAATACAAATAATATGCACCTTTTTATTCAACGTCAGTAAACTGGTGAGTTTTGTTTATGTTTGTTTTAGCCTGGTAAAGACATTGCTTGAGCTTTTTAAGTAGCATATATTCTTTCTCTAGGGAAAAAAAAAAAAGGATGCTGTTTTGTTAGCATAAAATGTAAAATTGACCTTGTTAGTTTCAATCAGTGGTTGAAACTGTCTTGTAGAAATCAACTGAGTGGTTACAGCTATGCTTAGAGAGGTTACTCTGAATTTACACAGAAGGTAGGAATAAAGTGCTGTGATTGCAAGTTCTCAAACTATTTTTGCCACTCAGTATCAACATACAATTACAAAGAAGAAAAACAAAATTGTATTGGAGAGAAGTCATCTTGCTCTCTCATGCAGTGTTTCCAGCCACCTCAGTTACAGTTGCTTATTGGAAACTATATTACTAGGAAATTTCCTGCATATCAACACAATTTTATGATAATAAATGAAAAAAAATTATTGCGTCTTTTTCTTTCAACACATTGACTCCAGATGGTCAGGGTCCTTTCATGGACATTAGTGGATCCAAACACTGAGTCTGTGTGCACACCCTTTGTCTTGTTGTGATTCATGAACATTCATTCAACTTAACAACTGAAGGATGCCACTAAACCACAGCACATGACTACTTCCTCACTAAATTAATGATACATATTAGAAAAGTCAGTTTGCACATAAGGATTATTTCATTCTAATGTATTTTTTTAATTTTTTTTAAGATTGATTTATTTATGTGTACAAGAACAGGGGTACAGGACAGAGGTGCGGGTGGTGAGAAGACTCACCAAAGACAGAGTGGGGAACAGAACAAGCAGATTGGCTGAAATACACTGCTGAGGGGAGGAGCAGGGGAGTCAGGAGAGGTCTGCCATACCATGTGGGTAGCTCCCTGCCCGGGGAGAGAACCCCTGCTGCAGTGGCTGCAGATTGCTTCCTAGGTTGTGTCTTTACCCTTGCTCCACCAAGGAGGCCCCTAATGTATTTTTTATTTAGACAGCATTGGCTTAAAATACTCTGTGTTTCAGAGAATCTCTACCTTCAGGTGCTAGCACACCACACCCACCACACCCACCACACCCACCGTGAAAATGCCAGTCCATTGTGCTCTCTCCCTCTTTGCTCTCATGTCTCCCCTCCTCCCCTGGCCTGTAGCCCCAGCTCTACATTCAGATTTCTAGGGTTAGTTATTAGTTTAGTTCGGCTTTATATGACTTTTTGTTTTGTTTCTTTATATACCATATATAAGTGACATGGCCCAGTATTTGTCTTTCTCCTCCTGACATATGTCACTGAGCATAATCCTCTCCAGTTCCATCCAAATTATCACAAATAACAAGCATTAATCTTTTTATAATAGTTGAGTAATACTGTATGTATAGGAGCCTCCCTGGTGGTACAAAGGGTTAAGCACTGCACTATGAAGCAATCTGCTGCGCAGACTCTGCAGCTTGAGTTTGATCCCCGGCTGGCCAGGGAGCAACCCACGTGGTGCAGCAGACCTCTCCTGACTCCCTGCACCCCTCAGCAGTGTATTTCAGTCAGTCTGCCTGTTCTGCTCCCCATCCATCTCTGGTGAATCCTCTCACCCCCACTCCCCCACCCCCTCCCACCCCTAGCATCTCTGGCCTGTACCCCAGCTCTTGTATGCATAAATAAATAAATCTTTAAAAAAAAAAGAATTGTTTAAAAAATATATTGTATGTACATACCACATCTTCCTGACCCACTCATCTGTTTTTGGGCAGTTAGGTTGGGCATTTATGTTTCTATTGTTTGGTTATTATAAATAGTACTGCAAGGAATATAAAAGTTTACATAACCTTTCAAATTAGTGTTTTTGTATCCTTTGGACAGATACCTCGGAGTGGTATTGCTGAATCATATGGTAGATCCACATAAGGATAACTTTAAATTCACTGGCATGGAATATTCATAGCATATTTTATAATAGCAACTGGATACAATCAAAATGACTATCGATCACACAATGGAATGCATCCAAAACCATACAGTAGTGAAAATTATTAACTTTACCTATTCATATTCATGATTGGATCTCAAAAACAAGCAAGTCACAGAATATACAAACAGTAGTATCCTTTATAAAGTTAAAAGCAAGGCAACATAAAATAATGTATCATTTAAATCTACATACATAGATGATAGACTATAAAGAAAAGCAGTAAAAGAGTCATTTAAAAATTCAGGGTAATAATTCCTTGAGGAATGAGAATCTGAAGGAGCAAGGGAAGCTTCAAAAATACTGTCATGACTCTGAACAAACATATTGTTATGTTTCTTCTTACATATGAGGAGCTGCACCCACATATATTCTTTTAAGAAACACTAGTAGTATCTTTTTAAATATATGAATATGTTCTATTTCATAGTAACAACTGATTCTTATCTCATTAGCCTGTAAATGTTTTTGGGAAGTATCTACATTCAGGTAGCTAAACAGTTCACATTCTGAACACATAGAATGTTCACATATGAAAGGTAAATATGTGATTTGGAAATTTTTTTTTACTTTTTTTGAAAAGATTTTTTTTTAAATTTGTATCATTAAACAATAGAGCAAGGCTCTTCTTCCTTTACCTTGGAGTGCTTTGAAATCTTTTACCTTATAAAGTACAGCACTTGGATAAATTCGTTATTTGGTTTTAAAGGAATTTGTTCCTCTGTGGAGCCATGAAATCCATCATAAGTGTAAAAGTTAAAAAAACTATCTGGGTCAGAAATGCACCACATTTAGAAAGTAAGGAGTGAGAACAATCAGATATTTTGAGGTTGCTGGCACTATTTCACCCTTTACAGTAAAGGCTGCTTTGGGGGATTTGACAGAATAAATGTCCTGATTCATGGTCGGTTTGCTTGTTGTCAATTCTTAGGGGGAATGCTATGCTTTCTTGTTGGGCTGTCAAGCTCTCTCCACCATGCTCCCAAACTTATTTTAGAAAGAAAAAAATAAAATGCTAAAAAGGGTTATGTCAAGAAGTGCCTTGAGTTAAGATTAGAAATGAGTGTTACTATTGATGTTCTGTAGCCCCCAAGGCTCAGATCTGTTCGCTCAAATGTCCCAGGAACAAAAACTCATCATGCTCATAAATATCCCCCTCCCTGGCTAAAAGGGTCTTGGATAGACTCACTCAAAGAATCTCATAGACAAGCATGCCATTTACTATAGTTGAGTGGAAACTGCCTGGTGCTGTCTTTGTAAGATGCATCACCATCAACAATGAATGAAATAGTAATAGTCATTAAATCACACTCTTGCTCTGTTGTATATAATGGTGCCATTTTGTATAGACTGAGGGAATAGAATATTTCTTGAAAGTACAACAGACATCAGAGGGTCTTGTGAAATACAGAGTCTGGTTCAGGGATGGCATATCTGTCTCTCCTACAGGTTTCCAGGAGATGCTGTCAGTGCTGCCCATGGACCAACACTGAGCAGTCTGGCTCCTGGCAGAAGAGCAGCCAATAGATAGAAAGAAAAGAACACTAACATGTAGCAATAAAATTTGTGCACAGAACCTGAAGAAAAAAGTTATAAAGGGCATTTGGCATTAGGAAAATTCCCTATAGCAAATTATTGAAGGCAAGAAATGAAGAATTATGGTTCTCAACATTGTCTGCACATAGAATTACCTGGAAAAGATGACAAATTGTGTTGCCCAGGTCTCAGAAGCAGTTAAGTTAGAATCTGTGGGGAAGGTGTGAGGTATTTGAAACTGCCTGGGTGACTGCAACAGGCATCAATTGTTGAGAACAAACATCAAATTTAAAACAAATGTTATTATATGCACACCTAATATTAGATCACCTAGAAGACTTGCATGCTACACCATAATTTATCATCATTTTCCACTCAACATTAGCATTAAATATAACTGAAAGACAGAAATAATTCTTCAGTATTAATTTTCATTTAAAAATGTTGGTTGATTAAAAGCAGGGGCCGAAGAAATAAAGATGGTTTCATTGCTGATGAAGCCCCTTCTTTTCACTTACCCCCCAAATAATAGGTGTCACCCAAATCAATCTGCCCTTGCAGGGAGTGAGACATGGACGCTGCATCATCATCCACCATCACAATCAGGTTAGTCCTTTTAGTGGACAAGGACACAGAATGCCACTGCCCATCATCTAGTGCAGCACCTGGAGGTAAACAAAACGGGTTAAAAGAGTCCTCCAGAAGACTCCAAAGAGGGCAAGTTCTTGAAAACAACAGAATTCAAATCTTTGACTACCTGCCAAACACCACCATGAACTTCCCAGCTCTTGGACCAGCTGCCAAAGACACCATACATTCACCTGATTTTGAATTATGTGCCAAACTGCACTATCAACTCACCTGATCTTCGACCGACTGCCAAAGGAACCATGAACTTCAGCTGAATTTACCCAGGTCAGGTAGCTGTTTGAGCAATGGAAAATAGCCTGCAGACAGGTGGGGCCCCTCAGAGAGACAGAAAGGAGAGGGCATATTGGGGCTTGTGCTAGGAGGTTCTACAGAAGTGAAATGGCACAATGATGACTTTTATCTAGGGGCGAGGTGTTACCCATATCACTGGGAGGTAGGCCCATTGAGTGAATTTTGTGGGTGCAGAGAGTCCACTATAGTCATGGACTAGCCTTTCTGCTTCCTATTTATTTTAATATTTTCTAATTAAAATTTTATTTATTTATTTTTAATTGAGGTAATATTTGGATGCCCACACCAGGTATTGCCCCTGTAGTCTACTTTTCATTTATGTTCACAAAAGTTATCACATTCCATTGGAAATACTATGGTTTACATGCTCCCTTCACAGGTTATTTCATTTTCTCTTCACTTAATTTAAGTTGGAAAACTACAGAGAGAAAGGAAAGAAATCAGAATGAAAGGGGCAATGAAGAAAGAAGAGTGGAAATTCCAAACATTTGGCATCAGAAAGTGGAGTATTATTTTCTTCCTGTCCGAGGGCCACACAAAAATAGAATTTCGACAACTGGCCCTGAAGAATCCTGAAATAACAAGTTTACAGTGACATGGCATAGGGCACATTGCAGTCTCAACTAGTTAATACTCAGAGATATTGAGAAGTCTAGGTATTTTCTAAAATAAGTTATAAAAATAAAAACTTCTGGGCCTCCCCGGTGGCGCAGCGGTTGAGCACTGGGTTGCTAAGCTGCCTGAAGCCTCTACATCGCTGGTTCGATCCCCAGCTGCTCCCTGGCCACCGGAGGAGGCGTGCCACATGGCACGCAAACCTCTCCTGCCACCCGCCGCTCCCCTCAGCAGTGTACTTCAGTCCTTCTGCCTGCTCTGCTCCCCGCTCTGGCTCTGGTGAATTCTCTCACCCTCCCGCGCTTCTGACGGTACCCAGTGCTTGTATAAATAAATAAATAAATCTTAAAAAAAAAAAAAGCTGGCACTGACCATTTAAAAAAAAATAAAAAAATAAAAACTTCCTTTTGCTTTTGTATAGGATCATTAATTTTGATAAACTAAAATACATTGTTTAATAGTCTATAAATAAGAATTAAAAAACATAAAAATTAATTTAACAAAATGTAAAGTTAAAAAAAATTGTATTAAAGTGTGTGTGTGTGTGTGTACACACCCTCGAACACTATGCAAAAATGGAAGAAGACTGGCAGGAAATATTCTTAAATGGTAACCTTAATTCTTGGTCAAAGAAAGTGTGTTTATTTCATTTTATGTCACTTTTACATTTTCTGTATTTTCCAAATTTGATATAGCAGAGGGGAACCCATGTCCAAAATTTATAGCTATTGTATTATGTTTAATAACTAACATTACGGCCTCCCTGGTGGCACAGGGGTTGAGCGCTGGGTTGTGAAGCTGCCCGCAGCCTCTACAGCGCCGGTTCAATCCCTGGCCACCGGGCGAGGGTCCCACATGGTGCTCAGACTCCTGCCACCCGCTGCTCCCCTCAGCAGTGTGTTTCGTCAGTCTGCCTTTTCTGCTCTCTGCTCTGGCTCTGGTGAAGTCTCTCATTCTCCCGCATTTCTGACTGTACCCTGTGCTTGTATAAATAAATAAATAAATCTTTAAAAAAAAACAAAAACAACTAACATTAGTCCCTTCAAGTCACTGTGTCTTGAATCCCTGAGCTGAAACATGTATTTTTTTCTTTAAGTGATGGAGTTGGGATGGTCACAAATGCCTTAACTGCTAGGTGACGCCAGCACCTCCTACAGATGTATAGGTCTTACAGTGAGGGAAAATCCAACACGAAGAGATAAATCAGTTAACAGTTGGTGTCTCAGGGTACTTGTCAAGATAATTTTTGCTAGCTAGTTTCTACTCGGTTATTTTGTGGAAATGGCTCCCAAGTTTCAAAGACGAAAACTAATGTTTGTTTCTTGCTATGGCTCCAGCCAGGCTGGGTCTGTGTCCTCAGGTCTTCTGTGCCCCAGGTGTTAGTTTTTTTCAGAGCCAAGCCCCCCCAGCTCTGCCTCCTGGCTGAGAGGAAACAGCAATTAACAGAATCTTGCTTCAGTATTTGAAACTTCTACTCAAACATGGCATGAAATTTCTACAGAAACATGGCACTCACATTCCATTAGCCAAAATTTAGTCAATGGCAAGTGATTATGTTCCTCCCTTCTACAGTCACTGCCACTCCCATAGTAGACCAAGGGCTGCAAATTTCAGTTAAACAGGGGCAATGTATAACTGAGATCTTTAGAAATTGTCTTAGTCAGAAGGCAAGGAGGGCCTATAAACACTCATTTAAAAACAAAAAATGATGATTGCTTGAATTTTTTTGATGTCATGAGTATACTAATGAATCCACTTGACTATAAGCTGATCATCTCATGGGCTGCACCATTATATTTAAATAATATGTCTTACAAGTGATAAACATAGAGACTTGGTTACAGCCCTTTCAGATCAGAATTTGACCTGCCAGAAATAGATGTTAGTACTTTATAGTCTACTGAAGATATTAGCTCCAAGGAAAATATGGCCATATAGCCATTAGAAAGTCAACCAGTCATATTTAACTTAATTCCATATTTGGGTATTTTTATTCAACCAATGATGTAAATTCATGTTGCTTAAATGCTCTTCAAAAAAAATTTTTTTTTTGTAGAGACTCTGTACATGGGCTTAAGTGCCATCTGTAGGAAATAGCTTTCTGACATGACCCAGAAGGTATAAAAGACTATAACTTTGTTTTTCTCAAATTGTTAAATACTAGTTATGAGACATCCCAGCATCCACTCCCAGGGAGAAGAGAGTTTTCAAGTGACTGCAGGTCTTTGTCATGTAGCATGTACTGAGTACAATAAAAATGCTAGTCTCTTGCTTTTTGTTTAGATTTGTGAAATCAAAAACATCTTCAAGGACTCAACATTGATTTCATTCATGAAAGATAATGAGAAAATCTGAGAACTAGAATATGAAGGATTGAGGTTAAATACTTAAAATATATATTGACACTGAAATAGAGTTCTGAAAAATGTTTTATAATTCTATAGCTAAGAGAATAAACAACAAAAATATCTAAATGTTCCTTCTAGTTTTGTCATTTGTTGTATCTCTCACAGGGCAAACAGTGTATCTGTCAGTATAATGACCACATCCATTTAAAATCTGACACTAATGTCTAATGTTTAATTTTATTTTGTGAAATATTTTCTCCCTCCCTCTTTCCCTCACTTTCCTCCTAGCATTTCAAATTTTTGTCTTCTTCCATCCTTCCCTCCTTATCTATTTCTCCTCTTTCCCTGGTTCTCTCCCATTCTCCCTCCTCCTATATCTAGCACATAGAATAATTTATGGGAGAACATTCAGAAAACATTCCAAAATATCTCCTTCGATATGTAATAGATATCACTTGTCTAAATGAATTTTAGTAAAATCAATCATTTCAATTAAAAAATAAAATGCCTGCATTTATGTTCACCTTTTTATTATTACTGTTATTTTATTTGATATAAGTTGGTTTACAGCAATGTATATGATTCAGGGGTATAGGGTCACACCTCCTTAGATGTATGTTATCACACCACACCCACCACCAAAACACCCATACTCCTCCACCATAGTTCATCAGGTTCCCACTCACCAGTGCCCCTCCCTCACCCTCCTACTCTGGTTCTCTCAATTATATAGTCAGATTTCTGTTTAGTTTTTTGTATACTTTTTTCTGTTCACTTTCTGTATCTATACATTCTTTTTTTTTTTTTTTAAATATTAAATTTTATTTTTATATTCCCCCATACAATTGCAAACGCCCCATTCTGACCCCAATCCTTCCCCTCCCGCCCCCAGCCCCCAAAAAGTGTCTCTGGTTCATAGTTTTTTGTTGATTTTGATTTTCACTTTCTTATATTCATTTTCCTGGTCCCTTATTTAAGTTTTCTAGATTCCTGCTATGAGTGAGACCATCCGGTATTTTTCTTTTTCTTTTTGGCTTATTTCGCTGAGCATGATCCCTTCCAGTGCCATCCATGTTGCTGCAAATTGCATGTGTTTATCTTTTTTGAATGCTGAGTAATATTCCATGGTATATGTGTACCACATCTTCTTGATCCAGTCATCTATTTTTTGTATCTATACATTCTAATTGTAATCTCTTGTTTTTCTTTAGTGTGTTTTCAAATCTTCTTACATCTGATAAAAGAAGAGATGGTTTCCAGACAACACTACTGTCAAAGGATAATAATGGTCAAGAGCAGGTAGATTTTGTAGTTTTGATTTGTGCTACTATTAAGATGATTCTAGTTCTACCACAGCCCTTTAAACCCCTCATACCCTAAAGGCCTCAATCTGGAGTTGGGGAGGCAGGGTGTAAGGGTTGTAGGATTAGTTTGGAAACAGTAAGAGTCACTGGGCTGTTACTGACTCACAGTATTGACTTAAAATAGTTTGAAAAAAAAATATATATATATATGTTTATAAGGCAGTTAAATCTATGTTTTTAAGACTAACTAGAATTAAGCTAAAGTCTTCTAGTAATTCAAATTTTCCACTACCTTCTAACCATGAAGTTGCAAATAAGTTATTTTTAAAATTTTGGATAATTACACTAAAATTTTTCATACTGACTCATACAGCAACATTCTGTGGTTAATCTATTTCAAAGGAAAATGGAATTTAATATCTTCTACTAGAATTATGAGTATTTTATTGATTTAATCATTCATTCATTTTAGAGATTACCAATCTTAGTTTTACCCTTAAGGCTATTACAATGATGACAAATGGCTATTATCATCTAAGAGCACATGTTCTTACCTACTGTGGCATCTCTCACTGGATGCCCAGGCTGGGAGAGACTCAGCTTGAGTTTTCCATCATGTAGAATAAGACTGAGAGTAGTGGACCCATGCTGAAGCGAAATGGTCAGCAAAAGACCCACTCTGTTCCATGTTCGAAACTGGAAAGCGATGGACACTTCCTCCTTCCTGGATGTGCCTGGCAAAGCCAAGTAACTCTTCGGGCTCAGAAAAGTCACAGGGACCGTTTGAGGGTGTGAACAGAAGAAGGAAACATTTCCCTGTGAATATAGTGAATGTATTAGGAAAGCACAAGCGTATGGCTGACATATCATTTAATTAGCAACAAATTTCCCAATATTTACAGTTTCTTATTAACGTCTCAGAAAAGCAGTTTTTAAAAATCAGGTTTTGCCATATTTATCTTGTAGTTACCTCAAGGCAAACTTAGGTGAGTCTCTTAGGAAATTTCCATCTCCTTCATTTCTCAGTATTTGCAAAATAATGTCTAGCCAACTTTTTCTTGGGCTTTATGTTGGACAAGGGATACAAAAAATGAGAGATTTCCTCCTTCAAGTTTCTAGACATGTTTAATTCAATGTGAAGACCAACATCAAGGAGAACCTACTCTGGGAACTTTTTTGGTACTTACTTTGATTATGCCAGCGTGATTGCAAGTTTGTCACTCAGATAACAGCTACATTTTATTCCAAATAGGAGGTGTGTTCATGCATGTCTGATGAAAAGGATGTGTGCAGAATGGGTGTCCCAAAGGCAAGCTGGCTGCCTCTCAGAAGCATTCATAGGCTGAGGGGACTGGGGAGGTCACCCAGTCAAAAGTCTGTCCTGCCCAGCAGAAATGACTTTATTTTTATACAATTCTATTTTTTTTAACACCTTTGTCTCTAGGCTATCTTTTTGTCCTTAGAGCAAACTTATCTTTAATAATAATGCTTGGATGGGAACAACTTAATGTAATTCCAGTGCAGATCTCTAAAGGAATTTTCCCTCAGATTAGATAAATTTTGATAAATTTCCTATGGAAGAATATATTCATTCAAATTGCCCTGTCTCTTCAATCTAATATGCAAATAAAAACAGTGAGATGGGACTTACCAGACACTAAAACATAGTAGAGTCAATGCAATCCAGTCAATGTGATATTGACATAGGAACAGGAATATCAATATGACAAAATCATTAATCCACAAAAGAGCTGAGAATTTGCATAGTTAATATGTAATAAAAGTTATGATTCAACTGTGTGCTAAGAAAGTCTGGGTTTGTTACTTCACTATTACTAAATAGTGCAGGATTAGAAATTGGTATCTGTAAGGTAGGATGTAGAAATAATCCTTATCATATATCACATAAAGAATGAATTACAAAGATTTATTTTTTAATTTAAAAATAAATTAAAATAAAAATGGGCAAAGGGATAGGAATGGATAATGATCAGAAAAGCAAATCCAAATGGATCACAAAAATATGATTTCATTCACCTGTAATCACATGAACATGAAGTAACAATAAAAATTAATTCATATCCACACAACTAGCAAAAGTCTATGAGCTGGACAACAGCTATGTTTGGGTGAGATGTGATGGAGGAATTTTCTCATACATTGCTGGTAGATAGTGTTATAATAACAGTTTTGGGGAAAGCAGTCCAACAACATTTATTAAAACCTGAAACTATATAAAAATTTTGATCAAGATATTCTCTTCCCGGAACTTTATCTCATCAAAATAAAACTCCAGTATCTGAAAATGCATGTGTAATTCTCTGTGTGTAGTGGCAAAAAAAGCAGATAAAGCAAATGCTCTGAATAGGAAATGATCAAATAAGCAACAGTACCATTCTGATCCAGAACTATCCATGTTGACTGATAATTTCGTCAAGGCATTGCTGATTCAGATAATCGAGAGGGAGAAATGCTTATACCCATGGTCCCATTTTTTTTAAAGATTTCTTTACTCATTTATTTATTTATACAAGAACTGGGGTACAGGCCAGATGCGTGGGAGGGTGAGAGGATTCACCATAGAGCGGGAGGCAGAACAGGCAGACGAAATACACTGCTGAGGGGAGCAGCGGGTGAGACAGGAGACGTCTGCTTCGCTATGTGGGACTCTTGTGGCCGGCTGGGATTGAACCGGCGCTGCAGAGGCTGCGGACAGCTTCACAGTGCAGTACTCAACTGCCTGCGCCACCAGGGGAGGTCCCCGTTGTCCTATTTTTTTTTTAAAGATTTTATTTTATTTATTTACACAAGCACTGGGTACAGTCAGAAGCGCGGGAGGGTGAGAGAATTCACCAGAGCCAGAGCGGGGAGCAGAATAGGCAGACTGACGAAGTACACTGCTGAGGGGAGCAGCGAGTGTGGCAGGAGAGGTCTGCGTGACATGTGGGACCCTTGCCGGTGGCCAGGGATCGAACTGGCGCCGCAGAGGCTGTGGGCAGCTTCGCAGCCCAGCACTCAACCACTGCACCACCGGGGAGGCCCCTCATGGTCCTATTTTTATGAGCAATGGCAAATGTGTAGATAGATGCACTCATGTATATGTATGTGAATATGTGTCTATCAATTCAGAGGGACTGAACATGGAGAGACAAACATAAGTTTAGTAACAAGATGACTAGGTGGGAGGGCCTGCTGTCATGTGGGGAGAAGGGAGAAAGGAGGAAAAGAAAACTGAGCAAAAAAAACAAGCACTGTATTATAAAGTCTTTCTATAATCATACTTGAACATCTTTTTAAAACTATGCCTGTTTCCAAATATATATAAACATTAAATCAAATATGAATGAAAATGTATATATTTAATGTATATGTATGTGTGTGTGTGTTTGCAGAAGTGATATATTTTAAAACTGACATAATCAATTACACCTCCCTTTTCTCATAAACTACCATGTAGATTTCTTACCATAATGAGGATCTGTGGTTTGTGTTTCTTGGATAAATCAATAATATCCACTCCATTGTAATAGATATTTTCGAGACAGCCATAAAAGTTTTTGTGTGGGAACACCACTGATTTCCTATCACCAGGAATCCCTCCAAAGCTGATCTTAGAAAGAAAAAAAATGACATAAATAATATTGTTTAATGATTTTCTGATTATCTGCCTAAAACATTTATGACTAGCAAGTATAGTGATAATTATCCCAATTTGGCATTATTTTCCATTATTAATTTTAGATGAAGTTTTAGGTGCAGTTTTATTTTATCTATTTTATTTAGATAGATGGGGTTAAATACACGTCATACAATTTGTTTCTCTTATGGATGTGTCATTTTTGGTGATGGAAAATATCACAACTTTATTTCCATGGCAAATCTTAATTTATATCCCAATGTAGCCAATTATGATGACATTCTACTTTATAAATGTCTCCAGATTTCAGAGCTTTGGCTCTACCAGGACTCTGATAGGTTAGAATAATACTGTCACTGATAATCTCACTCAAGACCAGAATCTTCACCTGGCGTCCTCTCTTGAAGCCATTTATATACCAAATAAATGTTGAAATTTTCTAGACTCTTTGAAAGATGTTCTGAGAAAATTAAATATATGTAGGTAATATGCTGCAGATATTGCTATCACTTTCAAAATTCCCCCAAATAGTATTTTGAATATTGTGAGCCAAATGGCCCTACCATTTACAAAATCAGGTTGGAATACATGCACCAGATGGGGACACTAGGAACTCTGGGGAGCTCAGCTTGGTTTTAGTCAAGCTCCAATCAGATTGGTCCATCCTGAAGTACATCCTGGAGCCTTATATAAAAGGGAAAATCCAGATCCCTGCCCAGACATGACCTGCATTGAGGTCAGAGCAAGTTCCTGGGCTGGAAGGCTCTGAGGAACTCAATGGGGCTAGAGGCAAACTGCACTGAATGTCCCTCAACAGGGCTGGGTTTAATAATTTAGGGGGCTCCGCTTCAAAGGCCTTGCTTCAGTTATGTTTAAGATAAAGAAATCTCCAACGTTTACAGCTGCTCATAGCTGTATACCAGATGCTCTACAGAAGAACAGTCCAAATGAATAACTTCAAAATGGTGCTATTGTGTGGATAGTTCTTTACCTATAGAGTTCTTCAATTTAATGACCACTTACTCTCATGTAAAGACTAACATGTAAGGAATAAAACAACTCAAGGGCAAGTGCATGCATCTACCACTGGGCAATTGTCATGCATAGGAAATATTCCATCATAATTCTGACTTGCTAAGAAAGGGTTGTTTCTGTATGTAGTAGTATCTTCTAAGTTTATATTGTATTTTTTATTGAGGTATAATTACTTTAAGGTATACCACATAATGATTTGATGTTTGTACTTATTATGAAATGATCATCCTACATGGTAATTTTTTTTTCTTGTAATGAGAAATTTTACTATCTACTCTCTTAGTGACTTTCAAATCTAATACAAGGAAAGGACATTTCTCTATTTACCTAGAAGATTATATTGGATTCAAATGATAAATCTGTAACACTTAAAAAGTCATTTCACACCTCATAATCAAGATCCAAATAGCTGGACTCGCCCTTCTCCTGGAAATGATGGGTGTGCCTGTCCACGGTGAAGTTGACCTGTGTGTTGAGGAGCTCGATTAGGACGGAGTGCCAGTGCTGGTCATCCAGCAGGCTCCCCAGAGTGAGATTCATAAGGGCATCAGTGTAGGGTGGATTGGCATTGCCTAAAAAGGGAGGAAAAGTAAATGAATTGCTCCATCTAATTCAATTTTGAGGTTTAGCATTTCTCAAAATACTTATACTTTTCATCTATCCCAAGAACTGGTCAGCTGGTTTTATCCTAATATTAAATACATATCTTTGGACCTTGAGCAATTCCTTCTTTCTTAATCGTGCTGGTTATTTTTATTACTCATTTTCATTTATTTTTTAAAGATTTATTTATTTATGAATACAAGAGTTGTGGTGTAGGCCAGAGATGCGAGGGTGAGGGTATTCACCAGAGACAGAGTGGGGAACAGAACAAGCAGATGTACTGAGATACACTGCTAAGGGGAGCAGCAGGTGAGACAGGAGAAGCCTGCTGCACCATGTGGGTCACCTCCTCCCTGGCCGGGGATCGAACTTGCGCTGCAGTGGCTGGGGATAACTTCACAGTGCTGCATCTTAATCCCTTGCACCACCAGGGAGGCCCCTCATTTTCATTTATTAAGAATATTTTTTGCCCCGGAACCTCACTGATAATACCAGCTCAAAATTTACAATGATCCACTCTTGTCCTTTTGATATTATCAGGTAATTTCTTGAGCATCTAATAATGATCCCATGTAATAATCAAATCACATTTTTTTACATAAAAAGTATATTCAAGATAAATGTGTGTTGCCTGTGTACACACTTAACTATAGGATGAATGTGTTTCTGTTTACCTGAATAGTCCTGACTTACACCCTTTGCTCACAGTGTAATTATTTATAGAATCTCCTTTCTTTCTCAAAAGTGTTCTGGTCTCAGGATAAATTAACTACTTAATTATGAAAATATAAATATAAAAACTTTCATTGAAATAATCATATTTTCCAAAACACCACCTTGTAGCTTTTACCTGAATTAAGGAATAAGATGAGTTTTCCTTTAACTAACTCCAGGGTCATGTGTTTGCCATTCTGTCCTTTTCTGTGGAGTAGAATTCCATCCTTCTGCCTGGTTTTAAATTTTAAAGAAATAACATCTCTTGTTGGACTTGTGGATTTCTCATTAAATGTGTACAGCAATAAACTTTTTCCATCAAAATTAACCATCTCAGATCCTAGAACAAAAAACATTAAAAATGATCTAAGTATGATACATTTTTATTGGCACATTTAAATGTATATGTCAACATATACATATATATACATAGCATATCTCTGGTTTGCTTAACACAGGAGCAAAATGCTGCTGCCAATTTTGTTTGGATATAGTAAGCTGAGACTGAAATGCCACTGCTTGCCTTTTCTGACATGTTCCCCAAAATTTATCTTCTAGAAAAACTTGTGTTGCTCTATTTCCAATTCCTCCTGTCTCCATATTGGCCTATTCTTATTCCGTGAGCAGTGATGATCAGGAGAAAAGGAGCAGAAATCAATTTCCCCTAAGCAAAATCTCTTTGTGTATTTTATGATCATTCAACTTCACTGTTTTGCTGAAATGTTATAAGAGGTTTTACACTGTAAGCAGTAAAATATCAAAATCACTCTGTAAACTGTTTGCTTGTGAGCCAGTGGTGATGGTTTTAACAATTCTCAGAAAGCTGTCATTTTTCATTTTTTTTAAAGATTTATTTATTTACACATACAAGAGCTGGGGTACAGGCCAGATGTGTGTATTGGGGAGTGGTGAGAGGATTCACCAGAGACAGAGTGGGGAACAGAACAGGCAGATCGACCGAAGTACCCTGCTGGGGGAAGGGGGCAGCAGGCGAGACAGGAGACATCTGCTGCACCACATGGGTCAGCTCCCCGGCTGGGGATCGAACTTGTGCTGCAGTAGCTGCGGATAGGTGCATAGGTTATGTCTCAACTCTGCGTCACCAGGGAGCCCCAATTTTTCATAAGACTCACACATACACACTCCTTTTACTAAATACTATCTTCATCTCATGGTAAAGGGTCTTCTTCAGTAACCTAAAAAGATACACCATTTTACTTGTGCCAGAAGAACACTGTGAAGGATGCTTTGCCACATACCTGATCACTGCATTATGCTGCCATTTTCTTTCCACACTCTTGACAGTGTCTTATCTTTGCATTACAAAGATCACTTGAGTTCAGTTTATAGTGAAATGTTATGTTTTCTCATCATATTAAAAGAACACCAGTCAAACCAATTGAAGATAAAATCAATAGATGCACGAGGGAACTCACATTGCTTAGAAAAAAACTCACATTTTTCAAGTCGCACAAGGGAAAAGAAGACAAAATTGCCCCCTAAAAATACATTTATGTAATAGATGCAGGTGCAAGAAAAAGCAGAAAAACATGATGCTGATGTTTTTCTGTCCAATGATATGATGTATATTTAATCCCCAAAATGTTGTGGCTAATGTACGTTTACCTGCATTTCATTCAGCTTCAGTTTGAGTCACAGACTTAGCAGGAAATGTATAAACACTATATTCTGACTCAAAATCATATAAACTAAATATTCTCTATTACATAATTCAGTGACTTTGCCTGTTAAAAATACAATTGTCAAATTCGAAAAAAGTGCTTAGTTTTCTAGATGACAATAAGCTAACAAAAACACAATAATGAAGAATTTAAATGCTTCCCCATTCTGGCAATATAGTTTGTCTCACTATATGGGACTGAAAGACAATACTAAAATTAAGGCTTATTTGTTGCAGTTAGATAACAAGGAACTTTTGTTCCATAAATGATTTTGCCAGAATTATTTTGACCAAATTACATTTATTTTCATATATAGCCAACTGAGTAAAATAATTTCATTAAAAATAATGTATCTTGTAACGGTTCTGGTAGTTTAATTAAGACATTAAATGACAAAATAAACTCAAGCTCAATTTAGGAGGGTGAAAAAGGATAAATGTCAGGAATTTCTTTTAGAAGTTGGAATATTAGATTGTCCCTTTCCGTCATCTAGAATAAACAGCATCACTCTGCAGCATTTTTAAAAGGTTATTATTATTTTTTTCTTTTTTAAAAAGCATAAAAGAAAAGACTAAGTGGCAGAGCTCACATGTGCATGCAAACCTGGCTGGACCTTTACAGAAGGAATTTGCTGCTTCCACACTGCAGAATTATCTAGAAATGGGTCTTTTGCCTGGGTCTTGATTATTTAAAGATGGTCATAAATAAAACCAGCTAACAAATGGATATTTTGCCATCCTTTTTTGATTTAAAAATGCAAAACCCTATTTTATATAGGATAATGCAAATTTAATTATTTTGGGTTTGTCTATTGTGTCATTCAATGCTTCATTTGTGGCTATGCTTGGAAATATGTTTTTTATGGTAAAGAATAGACCAATATTTTGGCTCCTTGCTATATATTTCTCTGTGTAATATGGAAAAATAGTATTGAAATAAATTGTTTTCTATACCTTTAAATTCTGCTTTGGTACGGACTTTGTTTTGACATAATATGATTTTGTTATTTAAAGACCATTTTTGCCCCCATCTTCACCCCTCTTGACCTAATTTTCATTCGCTCCACAAGTAGATCTCCATTTTCATTTAATATCAATGTATCACCTCCTAGGTAACACTCGTAGGAAGCTGAGATAGAAAAGAGAATGGGACATACATGACCCAACCCTCCAGGAACTAAATGCTCCCCCCACCTCATTTTATTTATTTATTGTGAAAGAACTCATTTCACTAGAACATCATAAAGTGTCACTGTGTGGGTGGTTAAGGAAACTAGAGTGACCAGAATAAAGCTCACAGCTCTGGATGGAAGAGATAAGAGAAATAATGTCTCTTATTTTGTGAAAGAGTCTGGAAAGCAAGAATGCAAGGAATCAAGACAATCTAACAAAATATCAAACTAATCACCCAATATACTACACAATTAGGCACCAAAAAATTGCCAACCATGATTCAAAAAAGGGACCACACTAGGATGTGAGGGCGATCTGGCTGCGACATCTGTCACCCCATTGATCGCCAGGGTTGATTCGGCTGATCTGGCTGGCTAGGCGGGTGTCCCCTTCCTCCCTCACCGCTCCATGTGCGTCCCTCCCGAAGCTGCGCGCTCGGTCGAAGAGGACGGCCTTCCCCGAATAGAGACGGACCGGTCTTCGGTCGAGGGTATACGAGTAGCTGCGCTCCCCTGCTAGAACCTCCAAACAAGCTCTCAAAAAAGGGACCACACTATTACCAAGAAATCCTTCAGTAAAGTCTAAACAATGAATAAGAATAAAAATTATCATAAACGATGATTTAGAATAAGAAAATTTAGATTGGAAACACAATTACAGTCCTCATCAAAGAGATTCCATTTTATGAAATGTCATTTACTTACAAATGTTCAAGAATCAACATGAATGTGAAAAACAATTACAAGGGTGTAAGCATAATTTTTTTTTTAAGTTAGCACTAAATACTCAAGCATGATTTTTTTGCACTTTGTTTAAGAGTACATTTTCTTCTACATTTGTTGGAATGTACGTTCTGAACTCATGTAACAGGAGAGACAGTGACTAGCTTCTGATATGTGTAATTAGCTGCCTCTATTTAATATTGATTTAAAATATATATAAAATTAAGCCCAAACACCATATTTTGGAATATAATGCATTCCTCTCAATAAGTAATCAGCAACAAGTTCACCAAGTGTGAATGGGGAGAGTCTCAGGGAGATTTTGTATTCTTTACCATATATTGGTAACAATAAGGTGACTTTATTTCCATCAACCCACTAACATTAGGATTTTGCTGTTGAACTATTATGAGCAAATAAAATTTATATGCCCATAATTAATACAAATAATCCATTATATATTTATTTAAGTGAAAACACCAAAAGCAACACATGTTATTACCACTTAGCGTTACACTTAACTTTTACAAGAAGCCTTTCTGAAAAGTGTCTCTGTGTGTAATTCAACCATTTAAATAACTGAGGTACTTGAAAGTAGAGTTGACTATTTAAACATGTCAGAAGCAAGTCATTGTCTCTCCTATTGTATGAGTACAGAACCTACATTCCAACAAGTGCAAAAGAAAATGTGTTCTTGAACAAAGCTCAAAGTGTAGTAAAGCAAAAATATCCAACATCCAACAAAGTAAAAATCAAAATGTCTTGTATCTAATAGTGAATTTCCAAGCATACAAAAGAAGTAAAAAAATGACCCATAGCAAGGAGAAATTCAATCAAAACTTACACAGAACTGACACAGGTATTATAATTAGCAAAAAAAGGAGATAAAGGCAATTATTATAATTAAAAAAAAAACCAAAATAGATATAGGAAAAATGCTAAAAAGTAAAAACTAAAATGACTCTAAAATGAAAAAAAAAAATACAGTGACTGAATGCCAGTTTAAACACTGAAGACAAGATTAGTGAACTTAAAGACTAGTGATGGTAATATCCTAAAATGAAATAAACAGGAAAATAATTTAATAAAACAAACAGAACATCAGTGAATCATGTGACAAAATAAAATCAAATAGCCAATATTTTACCTATCATATATAAGCCCTTGAAAGGGTAAAAGAGTGGGAGGAGAGGTTAGAAAATATTTGAGAGCAAAGGTTAAAGCTTTCCAAATCTAAAGAAAGCTAAAAGTCCACAGATGAACACATACACTTACACATAAATATATAGGGGGAAAAAAGCACAATCTGAAGCAAATTGCTTAAAATCCTAAAAACAGCTAGAGAGAAAAAGAAGTACTATACACAGAGGATCAAATACAGATTTCTGCAGATCTGCCTGGAAAATATATCAGTGAGAAAACAGAGAAGTCACATCTGGAACATATTGAATGGAAAATTGTCAACCTAGAAATCTATTCTGAGTGAAAATATCTTTCAAAAATGAAAGTGAAGGAAGGACTTTTTTCAAACATATAAAAGCTGAAGGAACTTCTCACCAGCAGCTCCTACAACAAGAAATGTTAAAGGTAGTCTGTGAGGAAGAAAGAAAATGATACATGGAAATATACATCCATACAAAGGAAAAATGAACACCACAACTTACACATTACACACATTACATGAGTAAAGCATACACACACACATATCTATCTCTAGACATACACACATATATCTAGACACACATATGTATGTGTGCATGTATG